TTGGCCTTAAGGCCCGTGCCCATAAAAGCTGCAAGTTGATTGGCTAAACATTTCTCGGAACTAGAACTTGGAGCAAGTTCTAGGCATCCTGGACACAAATCTAAAGGCATTCTCCAATCCAGTTGACGAATTTTACAACAGTTGCAAACGTTGCGAAGCAGCTCTCTCCGCAGAACGCATGCGCGTTGAGAAAGAGCGGCTCTCTTTTATCAACGACGATAATATACGGTTGGTAGACGTTTCGTTGGCTGCTTTCGCACTCGCATATGCTCAATCCGGGTCAGTGCTCAGCGCTTCAGTCCACTTCAGTCGAAGACAGAACGTGCCTGCGCGCGGGTGTGTCGTTTGACGTTTGGTGTCGCCGTTGACGATACACTCATCGGCGTCGCGCGGTTATCGGTCGCTGTGGGACGCGATCGGCAAGCCTCACCTCGGCGAGGAGTCTCGGCTGCGACGACAATCGCGCGTGTCCGCGGCATCGGTGTCCCAAGATACCCGTTGATCGGGAGATCGCGCGGCGGGAGAAGTCGCCGGCGAGAACCGCGAGAGTTCCCGTCCCGGATCCCCGGTGACGCTCGCGAGGGCGGGCTCGTTGATCTTTTCGCGTGGTCGGCGAGAGCGATCGGCGACCCGGCGTGACGTGCGGGCGGGACGCGCGGCACGGCGCGTCACGTCGCGGCGCGACGTGGCGCGGCTCGGCTTGGCTCAGCCCAGCCTGGGCCTCGGCGCCGTTCTGCTCCAACGGACACGGAGCCAGCAACGCCGCGTACACATACGCCGTCCCAGCCGTGAGGACGGACGGGCGTCCGCGAGGGGAGAAGTAGGGGGACTCGCGGCACGGCGGGTTAGCCGCGGATCGTGCGCGCGCGGAGGAGAATGAACGAGCGACTGAGCTTCTCAGCGTCCCGTAGCCATCGTCATCACCGTCACCACCATCGTCGCCGTGGTCACCGTCCCGCGATCGCCGGTTCCTCCGCCGAGGAGTGGCCCGAACATTTTTGACACGAGTGCACCGACCACCGTCGTCGTCGTCGTCGTCGCCGACGCCGACGCCGTCGCCGCGGGCGACGGCACTAAGCGACCGCGGCCGAGCGCACGCGATCGGCAGGACTGTTCGCGAACCAGGCGAGAATGAACGGCTTCAGCACCGGCGAGGAGGACTCGCGGGGCGCGGCGGATCAGATCTGCTGCCTCGTCGACGAGGGCGAGCGGTGCTCCCGCCCGGCCGGCAACGCGTCCTACAGCAAGCGCATACAGAAGACCGTCACCCAGCGGCGGCTCAAGCTCAATCTCGATCACATGGTGCGTGTACGCGGGCAGACGCGCGCGTCTCCGCGACGTTCGCGGACTTGCGCGCGCGTCCCATCGCTCCGATTCTCTCTCGGAGACGAAAACACCGCCGGCAGCGGCGGCGGCTGCGGCGGTGACGTCTCCCGCGTTGCGTTGCGCCTGTCGGTGTCGCAAGTTGTTCGGAAATTTCGCCGGCGCTGTAATTATAACGCGCTCGATCCCGCTGGGGGATTCATTCTGTATCTTGCGACGTAGCGAAAGTGCTAAAAGCGAACGACTTTGTCTCTCTTTTTGTAGAGACGAGGCTATTTCACTTTTGGCATTTTTTCACTGTAGTTCAGGATGCAGAATTGATCCCCTGGTCGTCGATGACCGACATTGTCGACGGCGATTACTGCATGCTGCAACTGGCGCGGTTATTTCCATTTGTTGCGATTGCCGGCGAGCGAAGAAATCAATTTTATTCGTCGCGTCGTAATTTAACTTCGCGCCTCTCGTTGCGGAACCACCGTCGTGGCCGGAGAAACGTTCGAGAAATTGCGCCGGGGATTTTTCTGTCGGCGCACGAAATTTCTTTCCTTCGCAGAATCGCGGCGTATCCTCGTAAGATACTCGTAGCGCGATGCGGTCCACCTTTTTCGACTCGCGCGTCTCGTTGAAAATTTTCAAACTTTCCGCGGGCCGAAACACTTCAAAATATTAATTTTTTAAATATTTCGAAGAGCTCTTTTTAATATTCAAACATTAATAAAAGTAGTTTCACAGGTTTTCTCTTTAATTTATATTTTTTTCTAAATGTCGCAGGCCGTAGATTGACCTGATGTACCTCTACACTGGCAAAAAAGTTTTGTTAAACTTTAAGTAAATAGATTTACTTAAAATTATTTTCTGTCACTAAAGTAAATATTTATTCTATTTAGATGAAAATTTTAATTTCAAGTAAATCTATGTATTATATTAAGTAAATTAATTTAAATCATTACATTTTCTACATTCAAATAAAGATTTCGTGAGATAGAATACTATTAATTAAATGAAATAATTGTTTTTGTTAAACAAGAAATCCAATTTTCTTTGCGGTGAGAATCACACCTTGGTAAACATTTTATAGAATCAAAATAAAATTTTTTAAATTAAAAATGATCTATTTGATATTTAATTAAATGCATGTTTTAATTTATTTATTATTTTTTAAATTTAAGGTAATCTATTAGGAGCCACCTAATGAATAATTTTCTTGAGTAAAGTAATATTTTTTTGATTCAGTTATCTTTTAATCAGTGTAGAGTAGCACAGTGCGTTTACCAAACATCGGCTCGATATTTGGTTGCATTGGGTCAACGATTAGCTAATGCACTGTGCCACTAGGGACGGTCGTGGTCAGGGGCTCGATTATGAATCTTTTCCTCTAGCATGCGAACTCGTGAAACGTGAAGAATTTCATCGAACATTGAATTCCTCAAGGCAAAGCGCAAAATCTATAAACTCTCGCGTGGATGGAATTTATCATAAATTCCCGAAATTTATCATAAAGTGATGCCCAGTAATGCCACAAATCTGTGCACCACAATGCCCTCGGCGGTTTCCCCCTCGCACTTACCCTTACTTAAAATTTAGAAAGAGATAATTTAAACCGAGATTAAAGTTAATTGGTAGAACTACTCGCGATTTTCCAGCGACGCATTGGACGAGATAGACCTCGAGCGGCTGAAATTTCCGATCGCGTACGGCTATTGTATTGCCACTCTGTTACATCCTACCTTTGTGTGTTGATTGCGTACAGGCACGCCACATATACATCTGTGATTATCACAAGCAAGTGATCCAGTGTGCCAGGACCAAGCAGCAGCAGCAACGGAGGCGCAAGGACTCCGAAGAGGACTCGGGCGAGACCGACAACGACCTCCCGGAAGTCGACCTCTTCCAATTGCAAGTCGGCACACTGAGGCGATACAAGAGGCACTACAAAGTCTCCACCCGACCGGGCCTCAATAAGGCTCAGTTAGCGGATGTAAGCACAGCGAACATTTATTACTCCCATACCTGCAGTGAATGTAATAAGGTGATTTAATACCATGCAAGAACTGATGTATGTGTATATAAGTAATCAATGCTTTTGATGTAGAGACATTATTATATGAATTATTTGTGGAGAAAAATGAAAGTAAAATACATAATATTCTAAGGGGTTCGGATTTTCCCCCTAAATAATTGCTGAGGATTATTGATAAAAGGAACAATAAATATATTGAGTATAAGCACAAATGGCCTGAGCGTCTCAGCGCAAGTTTCACTTGTTATCACCTTCAAAGCTAAGAAGAAAATAACGAAATATACGGTAAGAATACAAACAGAAAACGACGTTAAAACAATTGTTCGTTTTAATAGAATCTTCAAGCCAACTTAAGGAATTTAAGAATGTATATTAATTTGAAGAAAAGGGTAAGGGAAGCTTCCCGTTGGAGGGATAAAGTCCTGCCCTACGATCCGCCTTCTCCAGTAAACCTTCCGAGCCCACTCCACCCTTGTAAGCCTAATCCAACTGGTTTCGCTCGCGCGGTGTTCAAATTCGACCAATGGCATTTAAATTTTCTAAACAAGAATTGAAACGAATGATTTCCACGTCATTTTCTATGCTGTACTTTCGCCGTAGAATTCACTATTTTTTTTTAAACAACCCTGATCTAATAACGTACGAAGGCAGCTTTCGACATTTTTAACAATTTTTGAAAATCACACGTCGAATTTTCATTGCAGACTCTCATGAAGCATTTCAAGACCATCCCCGTTGTGGAGAAGGAGGCTCTCAGCTTCTTCATATATACAGTTAAGACCAACGCGAACAAGTTGGACCAAAAGAACGGCTTGAGCAGCAGCGACACAACGTAACGTTGTACAGCAAGAATTGTATATCGTCCTTGTAATTAGACATTAACTATGTGATAAGTATAATATAATATCGATTTCCACTTGTTAGTATAACAAGTAGAAATTTAGTAGTCTTTTTATAAGTTGCGAAATATTAAAAAATATACATGTATATGATAAAATTAATGTATATACAATATATGCATATACGTATGTGTATATATATAGTTATATATACATATATGTGTGTGTATATGCTGTGCGATGTGGCACAATATACTTACGTATATGTATTTCAATACCGAAGTTATATCGTTATTTTATTTTCCATCGCACTTCTCGTACGTAGAAATTGGCACGATGTAAAAATGTACAAAATAAAGTCGCGCTCGCGATTCCGTTTTAGAAATCGCGAGTGACGATGGGAATACTTTGGGAATATCTGCCCGGAAAAGGCAGATACGCAATTATTACGATAAAAATAAATGACATCTGTGAATCCGCAATGCGCTTTTATTTACTTTACCTTTATTGAAAAAAAAAGAAAATACATAGAATATACGTTCTGTCGTTTTGGGATCTTGAGATATAATTTCCCTGATATATTTATATATCTATGCTTAAAGTATGAATATGTGTAGCGTCCGATAAGACATGTATAAAGACCGCAATTCTCTTTCTGCTCTTGTTTTACTTTCTATTGTATCCACATGCTCGTTAGCAGTGCGGACATTGTCATGAATTATTAACTCGCTTTTCCGATGGATTCATTGACAAAGATTTTGTCTTTATTGATAATTTATCAATCCCTCTAGCCCCTTTGATAAAGATTTTCATTTGTTCGTGGAGATGAAAAAAATTCACATGTAAATTTAATTTGTTAAAAATATCCACAGTGGGTGAAGAAACGTATGGAGTTCCTCAAATATAAAAAAGTCATCGACGCGTATCGCTTTCTACTTGATAACTTATTGTAAAACAAAATCCATTCAGTTACATGTTCAGAAGACATAACGAAGAAATCAAAAAGTCTAATCAACAAAATACTTGAGTAATATTACAGCGGTGAAAGAAAGATTTCAACGTTATGCATTATTTTGATTTCACAGTTTGTTTCTTTGAACTGTTCAAAGCCATAACGATTCTTGAGAAAGATATATTCGTTTTACAAAGATATTTTACTACAGATCGTCCGTTTACAGACTTTAAATCTAACAAATATCAAAATTTTTTTTATTAATCACGATAATTATTATAGTGCTGTAATAAGTATGTTAGAAATGCTAAATATTGCTATATAATTGTCCTTTAAGTCTTCTAATAATGCGTTGAGTGTCCCTATGCTCTGTCCGAAGTAATAAGTATTGTCCACGTTCAATTTCCAAACAATTAGCGATTAATTTTGCAAAACGCATACTTTTTCTTGCCCACTGCATCATCAAATTATTTCCGCCGATAAAATCGAATTGTTACGAGGTGGAGAAATTAGCGATCTTCTGCGACAAAATTGGCCGTATCTCTCACATTGTTCAATTCTAATACAGAATTATCTTCCCCCTTGTTGTTCCGGTTGATTAATCTCTTTCATTCGCACAATTTCTTATGTCTCGGCGAAGCGATCTACTGTAACTCTACAATGCGATATATGTGCACGGTGCAATATGTACGGTTTTATTATTCGCGAACGTTACCATTATCGCTATCATTGCTTAACATTAATGCAGTGTAATAGCATAGCATAGCTAACATTACTTGATTTACTATGTTCTTACTATCCTTAAGATTGTATAGTAAGTTCGATTATTCGAGCGCTCAACCGATGCAATACTAGATTACATGAATAGTGTAAAGAACGTTCGAATAATCTAACGTTTGATGAAATAGGTTTGAATAATCAAGAATCTATTGTGCTTATTACATATAATTATATATAGATGTTTCTAATATTTATCTATCATATATATTATATATTAATAATTCTATATAATAGATATATACCGTATAACGTTTGTATATTATGTATAATTGTATATAAAAGCACACGTTAGTTATGTATATAATATAGTCTGCGTACGATATAGAAATTCATATATAAAATGGAATTCGTTCTTCGAATTTGGCCTTTCTTTTTACCATCGCAAGTATATAACCGAATTTCTGTAAAACAATTTCTTTCTTTTTTTCCGGACAATATCAACAGTATACATAATATATACAACGATAATTCTAGGTTAGTAGTAAAACTCGCTTGTCTAGCGTATGTATGAACTCTCGTCTGTTACAGCACTCGAGTTAGAATGAAGTTGTCGTTCTTGTCCGTCCCATGGCTCTGCGTCACGATTTATACGGTTCCAACTTCTTCCGGGTCGTAATTTTTAACTCTCTTGTTGTACGCGATGATTTCCTGCGCGTGAAAAAAAGTCGTATCGTTAGTCTCGCGTGTAAGGACGACCAGCGGAAATCATTCCGAATGTCCCGAGCACGCATTTCGGCTCACACAACATACTCTTTCATATCTGGCTCTGTCCTCCTCCGCGATGGCCATGTACTTGGACTTGGTCTGTAGATCCGTGCTCATCCACAATTTTCCTAGTTCCTTCGCGATGTCGCCCACTCCCATCTCGGGGTGCAATTCTCTCATCTTGCCGCGCAGCTCTTGGCAGAAGTAGAAAAACGCGGATCTGTAACATAACGATATGGAATCGCGGTAAGAAACGTATCTCAACGTTTATTAAATCTTTTTCCGTCTCGACAGATCGTGCCTGGTCCTTTACAAAAGTCCCCACTGATACAATCATGATAAGACGAAAGAGCTAAATATTATTAATGCTACATGTTCGAAGTACAATTCTCGAGTAATATCAGTTTCCAGTTCAACGTACAGCGCTCGTTTCGGTGCATCCTTGTCCCTGTATCTTTTCGTTCCTCTGCGCGTCGGCCTCTCCGGTTCCTCGTGTCCGGTGAAGTGTCTCTCATAGTAATACATTTTCTTGCTGTTGCAATGCGCATTACCGTCTTCGAGATGCACGATCTACAACACGGATCGGCGCCAATTGTAATTGCCACTGAGAAACCTGCCCAGAAACCATGCATGCCTAAAAGACAGGCATATTCTCTGGGTGTCTACACATTTTTCATTTCTACCGGTTAATTACACACGTTTCTGATTTAAATAACAATTTCTTTCCTTTTCCCCACGAGACTTTTAGATTTCAACACATCTTTCTACATTTGAGTCTGCGCCACTACAAACTTAATTACTGCTAAAGTATCAGACCGACTGTCGCACCTCGTTCTTCACCGGCACTGGATTGATGATGTAATTTTTAGGGCCGTTATTAGACCACTTTGCCTGATTGGTGGAAACGTTGGTCACGTTGTTGGGCTTCATCACACCTTCTCCGCCGCATTCTGCAAAGGGAATACATGGGCTGTAATACACGGACAGGGTGAGGGAGCTGTGATACACGGACAGGTTGCGAAAAGCTTGCTCGGTGGCGGAGTCTACAAGAGTTTTTATACTGGCTTGTATTAGGTGGTAAATTTAGTTTCATTTTAAAGGTTGAACATTTGTCAATGAAATTCAGCGCGAAAAGATTCATGGAACGCGACGAGTTCTTCTTTCAACGTGTGTTGCTTCATTACTTTGATTTGAAAAAGAAAGAACTGCAGCTACAGCTCATAAATTACTTGTCGAAGCTTATGGCGATTGTGCTCCATCGAAAAGAACATGCCAGGAATGGTTTCAGCGATTTAAAAGTGGTGATTTTAATGTGAATGATAAACAACACTCAGGTCAGCCGAAAGAGTTTGAAGACACCGAATTGCAAGCATTATTGGACGAAAACTCAGCTCAAACGCTCCAAGAATTGTCTGCAGCGTTAGATGTTACTTCGCTGGCTGTTTCCAAACGTCTACATGCAGCGGGAAAGATTCAAAAGGAAAGGAAGTTATTCTTTTGCACAACGCTCGACCACGCGTTGCAGAAGCCGTCGAGGAAACGCTGATGCAGCTCGAGTGGCAAGTTCTCCCGCACCCAGCGCATTCACCAGACTTGGCTCCTTCAGATTATCACCTGTTCCGATCGATGCAGCACCGCTTGGTGGATACACACTTAAAAAATTACGAGGACGCGAAAATGGATCGATGAATGGATGGCATGAAAAGACCAGTCGTTCTGTCGTTGCCAGAGAGATGGGAAAAATGTATAGCTAGTGAGGGCGAATACTTTGATTGATGCAACTTTCGCCTTTGATATCGAATCGAATGAGTTTGTTAAACAAAGAAACGCCGCGGAAACTAAGTTTACCACCCAATGTATACCTGGTGCCATGTTAGTTTGGCCGACTATCATAGTCTCCCTCATTCCAGAATTCAAGGAGTTGTCGCCGGCCTTTGCGAGGTACACGTTCTTTCTGTCTGACGACTCCATGACCGTCTTGCTCTCGCGCGATTCAAGGGTTCTGGCACAGCTTTATTGATCACCTGCGAACAAGAATACCTAAATAGACACGTGTAAATTCACGGACAAAGTCCATCGTACGCGGAGAACAAAGGGAGACGCTCGAAATAAGCCTGAACTTCTGCGCCAGTTAAGTTGAATCGAGGTACACAGTAGAGAATCTAGAAAGTAAGATCTGAAACAATCAACGTCCACTTCTACCGGATCGACCTTTAATCTCGGCTCGACGTTCTTGTCATCTTCCTCCGGTTTCGAGAATTGGAAGAAAGGGACAAGAAGCAAATCGAGCCGGGACTAAAGTCGGTCCGCGAAAATCGGCTGAGGAACATAAGATATCCTCAATGTTTCTTGCATTACTTCAAGCCCCATCAACGTATACTTTTCATCATTGATCTATTTTTAGCTCGTTATTATTTTCGAGCGCTCGAATCGACGTTAGTTCGTTTCAGTCGTTAATTATGTAAAGCGGCTCCGCGATCTTTCGCAGACAGAGCGAGCGGGAGGGAGAAAAAAAACTGACGGAGACGGATCTGTCAAGGCTGGCTCGTCCCAGCCGCGCGATTGTCGCACGGTCCCTTCCGCTCTTTTCCTCCGTCCTTCCGTTCCGCGACCACCGACGCTCGTCTCGAGCGACGAGGAAACACAAGTCGCGGTGGGCTACGGCCAGGGGGAGGGGGGGGGGAGACGGATCGTCGGCCGATTCCCACCTTTCCCTCAGGAACGCCCAGCGACCGCGGGAGCCTCCGCTCGACCACGGACACGAGTCTCTCGGGCAAGCAGACCGACCACCGATCGACTCCGGGCTTTACGAGCGACTGTCAATCGCGGGTGCGCGCGACCAGTTGACGGCCTCATCCATCTCTCGGAGCCTTTACTTGGCGGGGTCGAGATCGGTCCTGGCCGAGAGGCTCGCGTCGAGGTACCCCGGCGTCGTCCGGTCGTAACGGCAGTCACTTACCAGGCGTCGCGAACGCGAACACGCAACGCGAGCGGAAGCGGGAGGTGGCGGCGGCGGCGGCGGTGGCGGTGGCGACGGTGGAGTCTCGCGCGATCGCGAGGGAGACGGGAAGAGGCGGGGGGAGAGGAAGAAGAGAGAGGGAGAGAGGCGGCGGCTGGCAGGCTCGATTTCATGGATACCGGAGGCTATCGCACCTCGGGACGGAGGAGCATCGTATCACGGAGGCGATCGCGAGAGAAAGAGAGAGCGAGCGAACGAGCGAGAGAGAGAGAGAGAAAGAGAGAGCCGGGAGCCGAGCGAATTGGATATGGCAGTCGCCGTGGCGTGGCGCGCGTATTGTAGATGCGCGCGCGGGATGCGTCGATTCTCTTTACCCAGGGGTCCTCGGTTCATACGCGCGTACGACGCATCTTCCGCAGATCTCGATGACGCTCGCCCGTCGGAGGGGCGACGGTGCTCGGCGACGCGCCTCGTCGCTGCCGCGAGTCGCTCGCGTCAAATTCGTCGCTGACAACCGAGCCGCGTGATGCACCGTGAAATCGCGGAACTGACTTCTTTTTCTCCGCGTCCCCCGCGCGACTCCGCTGCCTGATTTCCCGATGCCGAGAGAGCCGAGTCAGCCGAGTCGTAGAACCGGTGGAACGTCGCCCATTGGCTGGACGCTCGCGTCCTAGGAACTTTTGAAACTCCTACTCCCTATTCCAAAATGGCCGCTCTCGTTCTCGACAGCCATTGGTCGTTTCTCTCCCGCGAGTCGCCCATCTACCGTTGTTACCTGCACCCGCGACAGGGGGCGCGAACCTCTCTTTCGAGCGGCTTTTGTTTCTTGGCGCCAGCGGTGGATTTCGAATCCCGTCGCTCTCTCGACGCAAAGATTCGCGCCCGGTCAGGTTCAACGTATACGCAGAAGTCAGTATTTTCGACCTTATCCGATATGTACTTCGTTTTACGCGCAGCGAAGAAAAACCCCTCGGGCAAATATCGGTGAGTCGTGTGCGAAATGACGGTCGTTGTGTTTTGCGACGTGCTCGAGTTGCAAGGTCGAGCGGGAAGTCTTGGAAATGTTCGGAATGGACTCCGATTGGAATTATTCTCCTAGAGAACGCAATGGAGCTCTAGGAAATTATTGCAACAATCCCGAACACTTCCGCGATTTCCACCGATTGACCGTGCAATTCGAGCGAGTCGCGAAGCACAGCGATCGTCATTTCGCAACACGACTTGCCGATACTCGAGGGGCACGTATCGCGGAACTTCTCGGGACAGATTTCGATCGGAGTTCTTTCGATTTCATTTCCCGCATTCCTATTGTACTTGCTAGGGAAGTCGGGAATGATTCCGATTGTAATTCATTCCGAAGAGTCCCGTAATACATGCCCGACGTCCAGCCAGAAATAACTCGTCGATCGACGTCGAAACGATGTCGCGTCGACATCGAAACCGCCACATTGACGTCGATCGGCGAGTAATTTCTGACTGGGCGGCCTCATCACAGTTACATAATGTTACAATTTACTTCCAGCAAGATGTCGAGACCGCAAATGAACTCGATAATCTGCAACCAGTGCTTCACCCCGACGTACCGAGGGCAACATCCGTACCACATTACGCAGTGCGGCCACATCTCCTGCCAGAATTGTCTGCGACAAGGTGAGTGAACTTTGAGAGAGACGAGAGGTTTGTTTTCTGTTCCTGCACTAGTGAACTAGTGCAGTAAGGTAGAATGAGAAAATATATGCTTGTCTTACTCTAATTTATTGCACTAGTTCACTAGTGTAAGAACAGAAAACAAGCCTGAGGTAAACCTCGCGCGATTCGCTTTCCGTGATTCCGGCGTACTTATTCACCCTTGCGACTTTCAGTTCAGAACCGATGTCCGCAATGCGAGCGTGCCGGCATCGTCTCGATAGCGCTGGAGGAGCCGTTGTCGCCGAAGCTGATGCCGTACTTCCAGCCGTCCGCCGAGCTCCTAGAAACGATGCTAAAGGTCGACACGTTCAATAGCACCCAGCTGAATATAACGCTGCAGCGCTTCTACGATCTTGTACATAATATCTGCCTACGTCTTCTGTTCTACAGTCCTCTTGTCGCTTGCTTTTTTTCTGGTCCTTGGCTGCGTTCCGATGTTCACCGCCGGTACCGATGGCTTTTCGGTACTGGCAGTAAATGTCTGAACGCAGCCCTGGGCTGCGGTCAAGCTGTCGCTTGAAATGTTTCAAAGTGCTCATCTTTTCTTTTCTTTCGGAAAAGATAGAAGAAGGACGGAAACACTTCGAAGCATTTCTAGCAGACCGCAACCTTAATTTCTCATGATTTTCTACTTGTATCGCGTCTCTTCTATCTTCCTCGCGTTTCTCATGTGTCTTTTCTTTCTGAATATTTTTTCTGGATTTTCACACCGGCGGTATATCCTAAGGATAAGAAGTACGAAATATTGAAGGCTCGGTATTGGATGCAGATTCAGAACATGAAAACGTTGCTGCAGAAGTACAATATGTTAAAGGCCACGTTGGAGAAGCAAAAGAAGATACTGCTGATGGTGAAAAGAGGATCTCCGCGATCCGTCCGCGTGACTACGGAGCAGACGCCGTCGGATTCCGGTATCTCCGTACCTGCGTCGAGCTCAAAGTAACGTGCGATAGTTTTGAACAGCACCGTGGAATCGCGCAACTGATTTATCTGCGTCCCCCACGCGACTCTGCGTCGGGAAATACCAAGCGAACGGGAGATAAAAGCGGATCTCTCCTTGTTACATTCGTCTTTACGTTAACATATAATATTAAATGCTATTCAATAATATGTATAAGTTTTGAGAAACCGCTACGTATTAGTAGAGGAAAGTCCTCTATCATGAGATAGCAGATTGTTAACGTCCAAATTCAATCACAAGTCTTTTCTTCGCAACGATTACACGATCTAACGATCGCTTTTTCCTACTAAATAGTTTTCACCCCAATGGCGATAATTTCATGGTGAAACCAACAGATGATGCCTATTAATTTAGCAGAAACTCCGCTATCTTGTATTTAAAAGTCTACGTCATAATAGGGGACTTTCCTCCATTACTCTGCATAATTCGAGTACTCGTCAATTCGAAAGTAAAACGATACCTTTTATTCACATTGCTGTATGTTTGTAGGTTTTCGCTGAACTCGTCGAGACCTGGGAAATCTTCCATCATAACACCCATGCCCGAAATGAGGGGGCAATATAGAACTGCCGATGGTTTTTGCATACCAGTCAGCCATAAACCAAATCCGAAGTTCAATCCTCGAACCATGTTATCTTAAATTATAGTTGTTTTTTTTTAAATAAAGGGACACCCTTTATTTCTATTTCTGGGTCTACGCGGTCAAGTTGGAAATCGTGACGTCAGAGACGAGATAATGGCACGTTGAGAAAATTCTTGTATTAATAAACAGCAGTAAAGTTGATACTCAGCTCAGTTGGTGACACAATACACTTGCAAAATGTGATTTGGTTTCGTGTCACGGATTAATGGAGCTATTTATTATCTGTCAAGAGAAAAGAATAGTTCTCAAATTTATAATTGCGGCAAACGAACCGAAGTTTTCTTTTATCCAAATATCGTTTTTATTTAGAAATGAGAGACAAGAATTCGCGGTGCGGCATATAATTGCGGCAAACAAA